TGTAACTACATTAATAACAATATATATTTAATAAACTATGTTTAGTAAATTGCATCAAAAAAATTTTTTCTTTTTCCTATTAAAAGATTTTAGATTTTAACTATTTAAAAGGCACGCATGCTGGCTGATCATCTGCCACTTCTTTTATTTAATTATAGGGTTATGGGTCATTTTTTTCTTTCCGCCTTTTTTTTCTGAAAGTATTGAAACTAGAGTTATGGAATTTGATCAGTAAGTTTACTTGAGATTTACAAGAATGATATAAAAAAAGTTTTAAAAATATCGATTCATGTACCTATTGAAAAAGAATTATTTTAATTACAAAAATTAATGATACGAAACCTTCTGCGTTAATTCATCATACTTGGCCGTATTTTCTGCTTATCGTTACTGTTTTAAATTGTCAGGCGCCTACAATGTACAAAGGATTTTAAGAGTTTCAGTCATTTAACTTTCTATTAAGTACAGGATCTTGTTAGAATTTGTTATAACACAATACTGTACGTGCCTAATTGGTAGAAAAGAGAAACTTTTTATTACCCTTGTAGATCCTAAATTTTCTATATTTTTTTCGGAAAGTTATGAATGGGCTCGGAAAGTATCTCATTTCGATGAATAAACATTAACGTCATAGTCGTTAACCCCAATTAGTGTTATGTTGGTGTTTTAAATATGCCATTAAAATGAACTGCTTTGAATACGTTTACTTTTCATTGTAAAAAACCGACGTACACAATGCGGATCCCGTAAAGCATCACAAATTACAAGCTAAAAAATTGTTAATGTAAATGGCACGATGTTGTTTCTTGCATTTTCATTTATTGCCCTAACGATAATAGATCCCTTTAAAAAACATAGAATGTTAGATATTTGAATTATTAGTTACCTACTGCCTTTTTTAGTCGGTTCGTTATGCTTATTGTACATAGGTATATTTTATACCATAATACATTAAAGGTGAATGCTTTTGTATAATTTTCATGAGAACTGTTACTGATTTTTGTGTCGATAAAATAGCATTTACAACAGCAGCTCGGTCATATTGGGGGGGGGGGTTCAGTAAAGTGGATAAATATATGACTAAATATTCACTGAGTAATATTATGTTGTCTTGAAAGAAACTATGAAAATACTTTACTTTCTATTCTTCCTCTTAGTTTAGATATGTGTAAAAGAATCGGAACCAATAAGGGTAGTAAGGTACTACATCTATAGAACCAACACCAACGTTTCACCTCTTGTTGTTTTTATTTTCTTTTGTCAATTAGCAAGACTTTAGTTTGGTATTGCTGCCCTTTTTAGGGTTCCATTCGTTTGAATGAAAAACGAAACCCTTATAGGATCATTCGTGTGTCTGTCTGCCCGTCTGTCACAGTCGATATGCTCCGACTCTGCTGTAAATAAATTTGTGTGACCCAAACACGGACGCATAACGTAAATAAATTAATTTTGAACATTGGGGTCATTTTTGGGGGGGGGGGCAATAGAAAATTAAGAAAAAAGTTTTGCAAACTTTACTATGTGATATGTCAATTTGAAGGGTCGCAAATATAATTTTAATATAAATAGTTCGCTCGCAGAAATTAATATTGTTTCTCCATAAAACGTTTTAACTCCTAATTCACCTTTACAACGTTTTAATTTTATGTAATGTCGCCATCTTAGATTTCATATACAAACGTAGCAACAACATCCTTAAGGGTTGATTTTTAAAAATTGTCAAAACACGTATTTGCTTAAATTCAACAATGAGAAACCATCGAGTAAATCCGAGTACAAATAAAATATACCCCATGGAAACGTTGCAACCTCTTTTCATTTGAATAATAATATCAAATAACATATGTACGAAGTTTGTAGTAAATTTAAATACATATAAAGTATGTCCTAAACAAAAATTGTAACACCTCCCCCCCATTTAGAGATTGAATTTTTTAAAATATCGAAATAGATCTTTCAGAAATTAAATGAGAGACGATTAAAAACAAATTTCAAGTAAATCTGACCACAAATAATATATATTCCATTTAAACATTGCAACTCCTCTTCATTACTTATCCACCCCAACAGAGTTTGAATTTTTTAACCAATTTCAAGTAAATCGAACCAAAAACAAACATGCAATCTTTGCAAACCCCTTTCAGCTTCCTAAAGAGGTAGAATTTTGTAAAATGTTGAAATAGGTATGTACGTCACTAATTTTATATGAAAAAGCATTAAAGCCAAGTTTCAGGTAAATCTGACTATAAATAAAACACCATACTTAACCTAGACAACATTAGGTGTAGCTGTCAATTGCGTTTTGTTATTCCATGTCAATTGCGTTTTGTTATACCATTTTTAACAAATGAAAGGCTAGACTGATGTTTTGACTGATAAATTTTTTGTTTTGCTGTCAATTTCGTTTTGTCATTCCATGTCAGTTGCGTTTACATATACCACATTTTTCTCGTGGAAAGTGATAAAAAGTATCCTATGTCCTTCTCCCGGTTGTAAGATACCTCCCCATCAATTTTCAGCCAAATCGGTTCAGCCGTTCTTGAGTTATAAGTGAAGTAACTAACACGACTTTCTTTTATATATATAGAT